TGACTCTCTGTGCACCACACCATGGAGAGCCCAGCAGGGGTGACCGATCAGAGCTAGGCCTGGCCACAGCTCTTCTGCCTGTCGTTGACCAGATTATTGATGAGAGCAGGGATAGTATCCATTCCTGTTAAGGCCATCGTAGCAGAGAACTTTGCAATGGCTGACTTCAGTTATGGGGGGAAAGTTGCCTGGGTAAGAAGGTTAAATGCTTGCTATGTAAGCATAAGTACCTGACTCCAACCCCCCACCGTGTAAAAGCCGTGATGTACACAGCCCCAGAGGTAGGGAGGCAGCGAGCCTAGCCAAGCCAGTGAGGTCCAGACCCAGTGAGAAACTGTCTTTAAAGGGGGTGGACAGTGCCCAAGGATAACACCCCAGATTGTCCTCCAGCTCTGTACTCACATTCAGATATGTGCAACTGTACATGTATGCACACAAACACACAAAGTTTTCAGATATGTGCAACTGTACATGTATGCACATAAACACACAAAGTTTTCAGATATGTGCAACTGTACATGTATGCACACAAACACACAAAGTTTTCTAGGTGAAACATCTCAGCAAAACCTATGGCACTTTAGTTAGGTTTTGTTAGAAGTGAGAACATGCCATAGCTTCTCTTTCCCCCCTTTTCCCCTCTCCCCCTCTACCTCCCTCCCTCTCTTTGTTCTCTTCTCTTTCTCTTTCAGAATCCTATTAAATATAAAAGCCATGATCTACACAATGTGAACCTTCATTGACAGGGACAGTTTTTATGGATTTAATTTCTGATTTTAAAAAATCATGAGCATTTATATTGTCCTTCCTGACAGTTTGTAGGAATTTTTCCATCTTTAAGAATTAGCTGTTTTTTTTTTTAAAATCATGTCTACCTCTACCCACAGAAAACAATAGTATTTCTTTCGTAGATGCTACCAACCCAGGATCCTACTTGGTTTGTTAACATTTTCCCAAACCTCCTATGTATTATTGGGAGGGGGGAGGTCTTTTATAAATGGTATTTGTTGATTTCTCAGGAGAAATCCTGCATTTTCAACACTCTTTGCCTCACCATGTAGAAGTCAGGCTGGTGGATACGTGTGTGTGTGTGTGTGTGTGTGTGTGTGTGTGTGTGTGTGTGTCACCGCATTCTCGCTGCATCTCTGCTTTCTAACCTCTCACCTCTGGTCCCTTTTGGAACAGCAATAGCTTTCGTGGATGTCAGTTTTTCTTTATCTTTCCAGTACCTCTTCAGTAGGAAACCTGTCACACGTGAATGTTTTCTTTATTCAGAACCCTCTCTATCTTCTGAAATATTTTTGACAGCCTGCCTGCTCTTGGATTTGCTTTATACTCAGGGACTTCTGACAAGGTTTGATTCTTTAACCCTGCAAAGTTTAATCACCGGATCAAACTCTACAAATACTGCTTCTGAAATTCAATTCCAAGGTCCAACCAACTCTAAATCTTTCTACATATTCCTAAGTTCTTATTGTGTCATAGCACATCTTGGGGCTGTTATTGCATGAAAGCTTGGAGGAGAGAGAGAGAGAGAGAGAGAGAGAGAGAGAGAGAGAGAGAGAGAGAGAGAGAGAGAGAGAGAGAGAGAGAGAGGAGAGAGAGAGAGAGCCCAGTGGTTAGAGGCTTGTAATGGCTGCAGACCTGAATTCAGTCCCAGCACCCGCACTCATGCCTCACAGCTGCCTTGAGCTCAGCCCTGGACCTCTGACGCCCTCTTCTGACCTTAACAAGAACTACATACAAACACACTTAATGTAAAAAGGAAAAAGAAATAAGGAAAGTTTGGATATTAAAGACATCAGGTTTTTAAAGTCAGAGCCATGTCTTGAAGGACATGGGATGTTTCCATCCCTAGGTCTCCAGTGAGCACCACAGCCACGCCCCTTTGAAAAGCAAACACTAGTGTCTCTTGTAGACAACTCTCCACTCTTATTTAAATCATAGACAATATGACTTTTACGTGTTAAAGCAAATTGTCTGGTAAGGAAAGGACTCTTTTATTTACTGGCTATAGTTCTAAGTACCAGAAATGGGTAATGGAGGCCAATAGAAAAAGGAAAAACGAAGCACTCGGGGAAGCCAAGGTTTGGAACGGTAGCAGCTTCATTGGCAGGGTTGCCTTTCTCACACTGTGTACTTGGAGTTCTGAAATAGAGGCGGAAGTAAGGCAGATCCAGCTACTACTGAAAGGAATACAGACACACTAGGACACTCGTGAAGTATAGTCAGACACTGGCCATAATTTGGCAAATAGATGTATAAAGTTTTCCTATGAACAAATCTACTATACCAACCTTAGCACTCAAGGTGAAGGTCAGCGTACATCAGCAGTGTACCAACGCACAACGAATTTGCTCTGTCGCGGTGGAAGTTTCTTCACTTTTTATCCCTACCTCCATAGCTGAACCTGAATGTATTTTGAATCCTTGACAGAATGAACTTTGAATCTTCAGTACTGCTGGGGCTTCTGTCAAAGTCAGTGCCATCTTGCTTGTGGAGGAGATGGGCAGTTGGGTTATAAGCAGTGTGTTTTTCACTGTTGTGTTTAGTCTGTCTACTGCAGTGCATTTGTCTTTAATTATATGTCACCTAGAATATGTTCTCACAGTCTGTGCTCACAGCCTGCTTACCAAAAGGAGACACTTAAATGGCTTAGAAGTAAACTGCCAGCTTCATGCTTAGGACATGATTGGAGAGTCTCCGATGTGTTCCTGGGGTCTCTGAGAGCCTCAGATGTGTTACCGGGGTCTCTCTGAGAGTCTCAGATGTGTTCTTGGGGTCTCTGAGAATCTCAGATGTGTTCCTGGGATCTCTGAGAATCTCAGATGTGTTCCTGGGGTCTCTGAGAGCCTCAGATGTGTTCCTGGGGTCTCTGAGAGCCTCAGATGTGTTCCTGGAGTCTCTGGATCAATGAGGATGTTGACTCTCTTGTGGATTTGTTAGTTAGTTCATATGTGAGCTTGTTTTGTTTTGTCTGGAACAGGGTTTTCCTGCTAGCCTTAGCTGACCTCAAACTCGGTGTATAGACCAGGCTGGCCTCAAACTATGCTTATCATCTTGCTTGTGCCTCACGATGTTGGGATTGCATGTGTGCACCGCCGTGCCAGGGTAGTGTGTTTACTTGTTTGTTTTCATTGTCCATTGATAAATTAATATGCACTGTGTGTGGAAATGCTGTTCTAGAAAACTGCTTATATGAATTTTCTATGTCTGTGGTTATAGCCCAATTTAACGACCCTTTTCCTTAACTGTGGCACTGTAAGGCCCCACTGGAGCACTCGGCCTAGTGACTTAGGCAAGCATTCTGCTCTTGCTCACTCCCAATCCCCTTTCTCCATGTTATTCTAAGGCAGGGTCTCCCTAGCTCCTTATGCTGGCCTTGAACTTTTGACCCTCCCCTGAACTTGTCAATCTCCAGAGTAGCTTCACCCTAAGTCATGTATGGGAATCAGATACCTTACTTGTTTTTCTTTTTACACAAAAAAACTTGTGTGAGGGCCCCCTTTTCTCTCTTGATCCATCAGCCATCAGTCCGAGAGGGTAAATAGGCAGAAGGGGCTTTGTATGTGGGCCATGAGCACAAACGGGGACAACTTTCCCGAGACAGATTTTGGTGAAACAGCTCAATTTTATTCTAGAGTTTAAGGAATATATAGGACTGGTGAGCCTGGGGACAAACCCTTGTTTGCGTTAAGTAGCACACTTCTGTCTACTTGGTATGTGGCAGAACTAGAGCAAGTCTTCTTAGCAGGGATCTGTGCCAAGGGTCAAGCTGAAGGTAAATCAGGCATCTGGCTTTAGAGACAGCTTTCAGATAAGGTCAGTCCTCAGGCCCAGGGACATTCTCCAGATAAGGGCAGGGAGAGAGCTGGAAGACTTGCTGGGGAGGGAGGGAATTCCATATTGCTGAGCTTAGAGAAAGCTGCCAGGCTATGGCAGACTATGACCTTTGACCAGCCAGCAATGTATTCCAGCAAACTTGAAACATATTCATAAAGAACTTAGAATGAATAAAGTGGGGAGAGGGGGAAGGGAGAGGGAATATGTATACTTTCAACCAATCTTCCAAGGATTAACCAACACTGACATTCAAGTCCACACGCAGTGGTTGAGCTCTTTTGGGAAGAAAATAGATGTGGATGAAGACTGCGACCAGCTTGTAGGGATCCATAAACAAACAGCTCATTGTCACTGTAATGTGTGTGTCAAGGGCCACCATGACAGAAGACAAACACCTGCCTGGTGTTCAGCCACAGGGACGGGACTTTGGGGTGTGTGAGGACCCCTGAGAAAGACCAGGCTACTTCCACAGTGGAGAGCCTCAGCTCTGCCAGAAACTCACATGCTCGACTGACCAGGACACCCACCCAGGATCTTAGTGGTGGTCCCTGTGATATTGTCAACCAAAACTGTTAGAAGTGCAAGTCCAGAGGGCTCTGGGCCTCGGTGGTAGGTCTGTGGGAGCTTTTTTTGTAGTACCGAAGAGTTCCACAATAGCCCAGAATGGAGGATAACAAAGGTTTATTTATTTGGGGATAAACTCTCAGTAAGGGTAGCAATCTGCAGTCTTCTGTGTGTGCTAGGAACTGGAACCGAATTCAGCAGAAAAAGGGGCTGTGCACACTTTCTGTCTGTATTTATAGTACATGGGACAATGCCCAAAGTGGGCTGGTGTCTTTAAAGGCTATTGGCTGAAGGAACTCCCACAACGTTTATGCTCCACATGGGTCCCTCTCTGCATATCTTCTGTTGCTTAAACTAAAAATTTCAACAGTTGTTTAAAATACTTCTTCATTGTCTTATGTAATTTGGTTTCTTTAATTGCATCCATTTGGAAAATCACAACAAAGCCCCATTTATTTGTACAATAATTTTAAAAATTTCTAAATGAATGCATTGACAAGGCTAATGATAATAATAAACAGGAAAGTTAAGAGTGCAATGCACTGGGTGCCATTCTATAGATAATAATGCTGCCCTCGTCTCTGTTCTTCCAGGGAAAGAGGAATAGTGGCTTCAGACAGTGTTTCTTTGGGAACCAGAAGCATTGCAAGTTGACAAAACTCTGTCCAGCCATGGGCTACACCTTCAGGCTTGCTGCTCGGAATGACATCGGCACCAGGTATGGCCTCTCCTGTGCTTCTAGCCCTTCAGCCTTCGAGGCTTGGTTCTGGCTGTCTCTCACATTGCCCAAAGGTTTGACGAAGCAACCTCCACACCGAGCAATTCTGAGGGGAAGTCCTATGGAGGGAGAAGGCCTCTGCGGTGACAGAACACACCGGCCTTACTCAGCCCACTAGTGTCCCAGGGACCAAGGGGAAGGTAGCAGTAGAACTCTGTAAAGGAAGCCCTCCCATTCCCCCCTCTCAACACCTAGTCCTTGATCTGTATCACTTTTAGCGTCTGTCCTGCAGGTCTTCCCTTTTCATTTGTGCGACTGTTGCTAGTACAGAGAAACTTGTACTGAGCGACTATTACCGCCAAGTTATAGAATCAGGGAAAACCCAGGCTGCCTTGTCTGCGGGTGTCTCCAGGCTGCAGGAGGAAGGGAAGAAGGGGACCTGACCAAGGACCCATTGATTAACGGGCTTTGAAAAGAGGCCATGTCTCAGTTCTTGCTACATAACTGTTGGTCAAGGGGAAAATCTTTTTGTTCCATGACTGCACCTTAGGGACTAAGCGCTCAGCGGCCCCAGCCTGGCGATGCTCCTGTGATCTCACTGAGGTCTCAGAACTGCTCCCAGCTCCTGGAAAGCAGTGTAGCTCAAGGGTGTCCTAGCCAGAAAAGTTGAATGATACAGGCTTCTACGATTCAGGAATTCTGAAGGGAATTAGAAGCACCACAGACTTGGAAAAGCGTTTGTAAAACTCATGTTCCTTCAGCACTGTGACATGTTTGTGCACAGTCACCCACAGTCTCTTAGGCAGCCGCTGCTCTTACCTCGGTAAATGTGCTGCCATGCTGTGCCTTTGAGGGAATAAAATCATAAACCTGCTTTCTTATAGCTTGGTGTGCTTTCGTAAAATGCACATTCTAGGGGCACAAGAGGACAATTGAAAGCTGTGGTGGGAAATGTCCTGTGTACATCCCAGCAGTGGGGCTGGGAAGAGGCATGCCTCCCTCCTGTAAAGCACCAGGACTCCCGACATGGTGTCTCTGTTCATCTCTGCAGTGGTTACAGCCAGGAGGTGGTGTGTTATACACTGGGAAACATCCCACAGATGCCCTCAGCACCCAGGCTTGTCCGAGCTGGCGTCACCTGGATCACACTGCAGTGGTCCAGGCCTGAAGGCTGTTCACCGGAGGAAGTGATTACGTACACCCTGGACATTCAGGAGGACGAAAACGTGAGTCTTGGGCGCTCTACACCTGCAAAGCATCATGATATCTTATGGCCAAACTCAAGGCTGCTCTTTGTTTCTACCGCTGCTGTCATTGCTGTGCAGGCCCAGCTGTCCTTCCCAGCTCAGCACATGGCTGCTGGCCATTCTGCTGGAGTCACCCTATGACCCCAGATACAACCAACCAACAAACCCTTTAAACTGTCCTTCAGATTACCCAGAAATCTAACAGACGTTCACCATCTCCACAGCTGAGAAAGCCTTGTAGGCAGCCTTCCCCTTGCTCTGAATGACTGCAGTGGCCCCTGCTGTGCCCCAGCGTCACTCAGGTGTTCTGTGCTCACTGTCACAGAGCCCAGGCCACACAGACACCTGTTTGCAGAGGAGCCACAGCTCTCCTAATGCCCATCCCCACTGGCCTTGTGTGCCCCGGCCTTGTGAACCTGCATTTCCTGTGTTCTCCTTCGGGGGCTCCTTGAAGATGCCTTTCTCACTTTCCTGGTTTCCTTTGGGTCTCCTCTCACATCTCAGCAAATATCCTCCCAGAATAGCCCTTGCCTGACCACTCTGGACAATCTCGGCCATGTGGAACTCTCTGCAATGGTAGATGTGTCCTGTAGTTTATACGGGATGTATGGAGGTGAGCATTTGAAATATGGCTGCGGACTAAAGGAGTTTTTGATTGTATTAAGCTTAAATCCCAAGAGCCACCAACTGGTGCTGTGACAGCATCTCAGGGGCTCCAGCAGCCTGCCTCTTGCCTTCCTGTGCCTTCATGGCCCACGTGGCATGCCTTCTCCTTCTCTTCTATTTGCAGTTGCCTTCTTTAGCTGATATGCCATCATCTTGTAGACCAGGCTCTATATGTCTTTTTTTTTTTTTTTTTTTTTTTTGGTTTTTGACAGGGTTTCTCTGTGGCTTTGGAACCTGTGCTGGCACTAGCTCTGTAGACCAGGCTGGTCTCAAACTCACAGAGATCCGCCTGCCTCTGCCTCCCGAGTGCTGGGATTAAAGGCGTGCACCACCATCGCCTGGCTCTCTATATGTCTTTTAGCGGGACTGATTCCCACGAGCCTGAAGGGAGCCTGATGCACAGACATTGCCTTGGAGGGAGGGAGTGTTGACAGAGGTTTCTGTCCCGCCTGGTCCCCACAGCTGTTCAGTTCCAAAGCCTACATTAATTATAAACTGGTTAGCCTATTAACTCAGACTTCTTATTAACTCATAACTTACATTAACCCATAATTCTTGTCTGTGTTAGCCACATGGCTTGGTACCTTTTATCAGTGAGGCATTCTCATCCTGCTTCCTCTGTGTCTGGGTGACAACTACAGACTGACCCTTTCCTCTTCCCAGAATTCTCCTGTTCTGGTCACCCTGCCTGGTTACTGGCCAATCAGCATTTTATTAAACCAGTACAAAAGACAAATGTTCACAGGGTACAAGACCATTGTCCCACAGGAAGGGAGGGAAGGAGGGAGGGAGGGAGGATAGAGAACACTGTGGATTGAATTCAGTATATTTTCCTACTGTCGTAAGGTCTACCCTGAGGGAGTATGTCCTTCGCCATCCAAGCCTTGCTTTCTTTGCTAGCAAGAAGAGAGGGCTGTAGCTCAGGAACCCTGCCTACCTGCTATAGCGCAGCCCCTTGCAGTGTCTGCTTCCCCGACAGCAGGCTTTTCTCATGACAAATAAATGGTTAAATAAAAACATGTCACATGCTTACTGCTTTGTCATGATACAGTTGGCCAGAGCCAGGCTACACTGCCGTGTGACAGATGAGACCTAAATTTAAGTTAGAAAGCTGCCCATGCCATGACTGGTCCTCCCTTAGCTATCTATGGCTGCCAGCCTTTGGGCTCATAGTGCCGATAGGAAGCCACAGTAAAAAGTTCTCGGTCCTTTGGAATTTGAGATGTGGGTATGAAGATTCTGATGTCTTTCTGCCTTTGCCTTTTCAGGATAACCATTTCCACCCCAAGTACAGTGGAGAAGATCTGACCTGTACTGTAAAAAATCTCAAAAGAAGCACACAGTACAAGTTCAGGGTGAGTCTCATCACCTTGGAGCTAATCTGACGTTGTAGTGTTTGTCCACTTACATTTCCAGTGGAGTCTGCAGTCAAGAAGGGCTATAGTGGGCGGCACCTTCAGAGGAGCAGGCACACTCTCTAGTCAGAAAACTATGCGAGAAGTTACAGTGAGGCCAGGCGTGCACCTGGGAAGACCCTAACCTGACGCTGTGTCCCCACCCTCACTGGTGACTCCTGACACTGTGTGTCCCCGCCCTCGCTGGCCATGCCCTCCTTCCTGTGCTGTGATGGCATGCTCTGCCCTCTGCCCATCCCTCCCGTTTTAGTCTTCTCTCCCATTTCCCACCCCTTCCTCAGCTTAGCCCAGAGGTTCTCCCTTTTAATACAGCTCCTTATTTGGTGGTGACCTCCAACCATACAATTACTTTTATTGCTACTTAATAGCTGTAATCCTGCTACTATTATGAATCATAATGTAAATGCCTAATATGCAGGATATCTGATAGGTGACCCTTGTGCAAGTATCGTTTGACCCACAGGTGGAGAGCCACGGACCCATAAAGAGGCACCGCTAACGTTACCGCAGGGACCTGTGTCAGAGCCGCAACGTGAAGCTGCTTTGCGTTGCTCATGCAGTGCGTCCTCCTGTCCCACAGCTCCTCTGTCCGTCCTGTGCACAGCACTCGTGTGCACTCGTTTCCTCGTGTGCCCTGAGGATTCCCCACCCTCGCGTCTCTAATTTTAGGGCAGAGTAATTTAATTTGGCATGTCGTCACCCCAGTATTTGTCAGATTATCAAGTGGAGTGTTGAGACTGACTATTTGAGGAATATAATTGTTTTTGGTATGCTAAAAATACCAGTGTTGGCTCCCAGATCGTAGCTGTACTGCTGCTCTTCTCCACCAGATGGCACTGCCTGACTCTTCCATAAGTAAAGTTTTTGTCTGACTTGCCCATGTTTTCTTTTCACCCAACAGCACGACATAGGTGGAAACCTTCTGATTTCATATGTACTTCCACTGTAGCCTCTTCTTCCCCCTCCTTTATTGAAACATGGCCTTACTCTATTTCGGAATTGCCTGGAACTGCCTACATAGCCTAGAATGGTTTCGACCTCCCATATGCTAGGATCATGGGCATGCACCATTACCCTAGGCTTACATTTCTTCCTATAAGGATATACAAATATCCTTAGATAGTTTTAGTTTTAATTGTTAATAACCAAATATCAGCAAAATGAATGATGACAAACACATCGACAGTCTGAAGAAAGCAAGCACTGGCTGGGTGGCTGGGTGGGTAGGTGGATGGGTGGGTACGTGGGTGGCTGGCTGGGTGGGTAGGTGGCTGGGTGGGTAGGTGGATGGGTGGATGGGTGGGTAGGTGGCTGGGTGGCTGTGTGCTGGGTGGGTACGTGGGTGGCTGGCTGGGTGGCTGTGTGGCTGGGTGGCTCTGTGCTGAGTGGGTAGGTGGATGGGTGGCTGTGTGGCTGGGTGGGTACGTGGGTGGCTGGCTGGGTGGGTGGCTGCGTGGCTGGGCATCTGTCACCATGTCTGGCCTTGCTGTCTAAGAGTCACTGTCGACATTGCTGGGGCCTGTAACTTATGTGTCCTGCTCTTCTCTTGGCCGTGTTACAGCTGACTGCTTCTAACATGGAAGGGAGAAGCTGCCCAAGTGAAGTCCTGGTTTGTACGACCAGTCCTGACCGTCCTGGACCTCCGACCAGGCCGCTCATTAAAGGGCCAGTCACATCGCATGGCTTCAGTGTCAAGTGGGGTACGTTTTCTGCCTCTGCTGCTGCTTTTCCTTTTTGACTCATCTTAATTTCCATAGTGACAAATCAAACACAAGCACACAGTATTGCGTGTGGGAGCATCGTGCATGTGTTACACACGTGTGCGAAGCATCCTGAGGACTGGAGGAGGCCATGGGATTTTAATGTATGGCCAGACTTTAGTGGACTACTTAAATGAACAATTTTAAGAGTGTCTCATTTATTTCATAATTTTCTTATATTACAGTTTTCCTCCCTTTATAAATGCACTGTTGATTTGAATTTGAGAATTCAAAATTAGATAATTCATTCTTTAATGACTCACCTTAGAAATTTAATAGGAATACTATTTTCAAATTAATACTGAGATTGGATTTCAAATTTAGATATGTAATTTTTAACATGTAAAATGCCGCAATGAAATAGGAAAAGTTTGTGTTGTTTGTTCTGTAGCCTCCAGGCTGAGCTTCAGGATCTTCTCACTTAGGGCCTGGGAGGACAGTGAAGTTCATCTCTGTGGTGCAGGTCACTTCAGGGACATGCATATTCCTTACTGTGCGGTTGAAACATTTGTAGTTACATGTGAAGCGGTTGAGACATGTGTGCTTTGCACTAACATCATGTAAGGATATGTACAAATAGCAGGTGAAAGGCAAACAGAAAAAGAAAGAGTTCTGAAGGTCCTGTATGAGGGGTGCAGTTTAGAGCACAGGCCATCACTGCAGCCAAGGTCAAGTGTGCTGTCTTGAGTTATCATAGAACTCTGAGCTCCCTCTGCCCGGAGGACAAGTATGGTCAAGAGCAGGTGAGGGACTTGGGGCTGCTTGTGGGTCCTTCCTCCAGGGAGCCTGTTCCTCTGCGCACTCCCTCCTTCTCCTCAGCTCTATGCTGGGTTTGTCTCCATGGAAATCTCTGAGTAGTGCAACGATCTGGGAAAGTGAGCTTCCTCAGTCCGTGTGAGGAAAGCCCAGGCCTTGGAAAGTCTCCCCCATGACCAGGGATGTAGAGGTGGCCGGCTGCTGCCAGACATGAATTGAATTCTTCACAGTTTGGCAAAATTCTTCTGCCTTGCGTTTCCATACTCAAAAACCAAAGCTCTTGCAGGCAGGGTTTGTGTCCATTTACCCAGGGCGACGTAGAGGACTCTGGAAATTGACAGAGCCCTCGTCCCACGCTGCCAGGTACATGTTGATCCAGGCTCCAGGGTGGGGATAGAAAGTTGATTTGGGAGAAAGTGTGGCGGAGTGAATTGATTTCATTCCAAATTTAATTTGTCAGTGCAGTTTTCTTTTCTTTCCCCTTCTCATTTTTCAGAAATATCTGCTTGCTCATAAAATATATGAAGTAAAAATAATAAAACACGATAAACATCTAAACATTTCAACTTTACATAAAAGTCACCAAATCTCAGAGTCACCTCCAGATTCTCCAGAGTAAACTCGTTCTGGAAGCCATTCCGCTTGCCTAGTTTTGCGCGTGTCTCACTAAATAAATGCTAACTAATACACTCTGTTCTGCATTCCAGCGACCTTAAATAGAAGCCTGATAAAAGTCACAGCTTCTTGACACTGAGGAGCCAGTGTGGGAAGTGGGGCACTCATACCTGTAATCTCATAATAATCGGGTGGGGTGCCGAGGCAGGAGGATTGCCAAACCTTTGAGACCAGCCTGAAGTATGAGATGCTGTCTCAAGAAAAAAAAGGGGGGGGCAGGGGTCATGATCATAAGGAATTGTGCCTTTTGGTGCAGTCCAGACGGAAGGGCATGTAGCAGTAGATTCCTTGGTTCTCTGTGATGATGTTTACAAGTTCCGTCCTGTCTTCTCCTCACTGATGGTGTTTGCCTACTCTCCAGATGCTCCAAAGGACAGTGGCGGCTCAGAAATCCTGAAGTACCTGCTGGAGATCACAGATGGAACTTCTGAAGGTGACACTTCGGGACCTTTTCATACAGTGCATTCACACCCTTGAATTTTTGTCCTGATGTGGTCAGATCCTTTCTATAGCAGCAGTAGGCAGCCTTTAGTTCTATGATATACAGCAAGTAGTGTGGTGAAGCTATATATGTCCGTGTGTCTATCTATCTATCATCTATCTATCTGTCTGTCTGTCTGTCTGTCTATCTATCTATCATCTATCTATCTACCTGTCTGTCAATCTACCATCTATCTATGATATATGATATATATACCCTTCCCTCCCTCTCACTAGAGTTTGATCTTGACTTAGTTTTTTCTTCAAGCACTGCAGCAAGCCCTCTACCCCAGACTGTACCCCTGAGTACATCCCAGTTTTCAGACACCACAGTTCGCTGTGCTTGAAGTGCTCATCTTTGGCATGCTGGGTTGTTTTGTTTTCTATTCTCTGTGTCAATTATAAGCCACAGGGGAAATAAGCTCTTCCTCCCCTAACCTGCCACACTTCTGGAAATTATGGGCGGAGGGTCAGAAATGGTCCCCCTGGCACCCTGCCATGTCCAGTGGCAGCCACGTCATAGTGTGCCTAGTGATGGGCGTCAGACTTTGATAGTAATTGGTCTCCACTGTGACCTTGGAGTTAGAACTCCCATCAGCAGCTTCACTAAAAGGATTAAAATGGAGCCATGGGGCTTGCCGCCTGGTCTAGTGACCTGAGTTCAGTCCCTGGAACTGTGTTCTGACTCCACAAGGTTGTCCTGTGAGCACCCCCATGTGCGCTGACATACATGAACGTGAGCGTGCACCCCCACTACACACAGAAGTCATAATTTAAGAGGGACAGTGCCAGAAAGGAAAATCTTTAGAGCCCTGAAAATGTTCTTGCCTTTCTTTCTAATAAAACTCATTGGACTTCAATAGACAAAGATATAGTTGTCAAAAGTCTAAAACCTAGCCTCACTTTCCCAGTAAGGCTGCTGTGATCAGTATTTGTTTAAAGTGTGTGTTCCTGTGACCAAAGAGAGGACCTGGGTCCCTGGGAACGAGGGACTCTGCTTTCGGTCTGTGCACCACACCCATCTGGAGCTGCTTCGTTACTGTCTTTTCTAAAGCCTGTCAAGTACTAAGCTGAAAATAGGAGAATTCCAGAAGATGGGCACAGCTGTTCTTAACACGAAATCCGTTTCTGCACTAAGAGCACACTTAGTGTTTACATTAAGACTGGGAGAGAAGTCAGTGTCTCCCAGGTGCTTATGGAGAAAGTGTAAGTCGGCTTCCCATCATCCAGCTCCCTCGGGTGCTGAGTCAGTGCAAGAGTGGGCGTTATTTTACCTTAGCACCGGCAGCTGGCCGTGCATGGGAGTAATTAATAGAACTTTCCATGTCTCATTGTCCCAGCTGTTCCTCAGTGTAGGCTGTCCGCCCATAACTCAAGCACCGCTGTCTAAATTCCGAGTTCCCACGGAGCTTTGTCCTAACACTGACATAATAAGACCCAGGACCACAAGGTAGGGAGGGATAAAGTCTACCGTAATAGCCAGCCGAAGGAATCTGTGGACGTGACTGTATAAAACACCGTAGAACAGGCGAGCGTATTTCCCCTGAAACAGCTAGTGGATCCAACGGCCGTGTAGAGCGCCCAGCTGGAAACCACACGAGAGCAGACATCCCTGCAGCCTGATGCTGAAGCAGACAGTGGCAGGATCGCTTCTAGGTGCTTTCCCCGAGGGGCACCAGCCTGGGGACACCCCCCCAGCCACACCATCTGCTCCCTTCAGTCTCAGCACCACTGAGGCAACCTGAGTCACTCCAAGTGCTCCACCTCTGACTCCTCAGCGTTGGGCTCATCTTCCTGCGTGGGCTCCTTGAGCACAGCAGCCTTCTCGGAAGCCCTGGTCTGTGAAGGTGCAGTTGTCCTGACTGAAGCACCTCTGGGCAGCACCTGCATAGCTAGTCCTGTGGCTGCCTCACCATGGCATTCACAGCTGCTCAACACTCAGTACCCGCCTCCTGTGCTAACGCCCATGGCATATGGCTTCCCACATCCCAACCTCATGGTCAGCGACGTCTCTGTGGCCATAAAAAATGGCCATGTGTATATTGGTGCCAGGTGGTGCTGGGCTTCTGAGGAAGCCGCTTGGTGTCCTGCCGCAGATGCTGTTTCTAACTTACACGCCCCGTCTCCTTTCACAGCTGGTCAGTGGGAAGTGGCCTACAGCGGCTCTGCTACGGAGTATGTCTTTACCCACTTGAAGCCAGGCACTTTGTACAGACTGCGGGTCTGCTGCATCAGCACCGGTGGGCACAGTCAGGTTGGTCAATCAGTGTGTGACAGGACGGACGGACGTGGCAGTTCCTTTACTGCAGAGCTGTGCAGGTCCTTTACTGCCACCTGCTGGGAGGTTGTTGTAAAAGCAATATTGTTGGTTAATTTCCCATGTCTCCTCTCTATCTGTATGAATGCAGACCAACCAGGTGGCCTGTCAGGAGACTCAGTTTCTGCCACACACAGTGCTCAGAGGTTCCATACAACCCAGCGAGTGCTTGCAGAGTACTCTTGAAATGAGTGTGGGTGTGGTGTTGAGACTCATGAAAATAGGCACTGTGTTCAAAGTGTTTTCACTATAGATGATTTGAAACCATGTGATGAGAAAGAGAGATGACCTAGTCACCCGGTAGCAGATTGATTATTGAATATAAGGCTTGCCCTGTCTAACATGTTCCTGAATTTTACACACACTCACACGCACGCATGCACACATGTGTAGCATAGCAGTTCCAAAAGCCCAGTCAGAACACCCTTCCACCATGCGGGACTGCCCGGAAAGTCTCTGTTGGAGTGTATCTAGACCATAGCCATAGAGCATCGGGGCATCCCCCATGTGAGGGCTCTGCAGGGCAGCATATGTGTTACTTGATGGCACAGAGTCCACTTCCCATCTGTCACTGCTCTGGAAGGAACTGGAGCTGCCTGGCTGCGCCCTGTTTCTTTGATTCTTGTAAGATGGTGAGCTTTTTTAACACCAGCCTGGCACAGCCAGATCCTACCAAAGGGAGACTTAGTTATTTTAGCGTTTACAGAACTACCGTGAAAGTCAGGCTTGGTGGACAAGTGCTCCCGTTGACCCTCCTCTGCCGTTTCTGTAACTGGCTGTCCATTTAAGGAGCCATTCTTCATTTATCCAGTTGCTGTGTGTGTTCTCCCGCATCCTCATGAAGGGTCCTTCTAGTGTTGACGTAAAGGAAAATAAGTGTGCTTAGGGCGGACACGTCTCCATCCTAGTCATGTGGTGTCAGAGGGAGCCGCTCTTATTATAACCGGCACTGTATGCCGTGAGAGCCCACCACACATGTAGACAGGCATGGACCCTCCTGACGGGTTTGATACATGACAGGCACACACATCTAGTGGTTCCTTTTTGGTCCCATTTACAGTTGTGGGATAGACTTAGCCTGGTAGGTAAGGTATGAGCAGTTCACAGTAACTAAGCAATGGTCTCTCCCGTGTTTCTCCCACAGTGTTCTGAAAGTCTCCCTGTTCGCACACTAAGCCTTGCGCCAGGTCAGTGCCGACCGCCGAGGGTTTTGGGTAGACCAAAGCACAAAGAAGTCCACTTAGAGTGGGGTGAGTGTATAAACCTTCATGTGGGCATCCACAAGGACAGTGGGAAGTAAAGACACGGTGCTTTGTCACGCGGCTCCAGGGCTTCCTTCTTAAGCTGTGCCCCTGCTAGCATAGCTGTGCTCTCCGTAACCTGCGCCGCGGGTTCCCCCTCACCCCACACCTTTTCTCCCATTCCTGGGGTGCTGCACACACTGTTGCTACTCCACCTTTCAGAGGTCACATTTCTAGAGGAAATCCCAGAATAGCCTGCCTTGTGCAGGGATTGTTCAGCCTGTGAAGGAAACGTATAAAATGTAGAGATTAAACCAGAAATGGCTCAGAGGTTCCTCGGTGGGTCCTGGTTATCCACAGCGTTCACTCCAGTGTGCCAGCAGCGCGTGTGCACACTGCCAGTGTAATGTGTAGAGCGCTAGCAGACAGTGTGGGGTCCCGTAGACTTGGCATGACGTCTAACATTAGATTTTTCCTTCCCTCCCTTTTTCCCTCTCCTTTATTGACGTGTGATGGTTTCCCTAGTGCTCATTATTCCTGGATTCTTTTTACTATGACCAAACCTGTTTAAAACACACCTGCTCTGGATGGCTGGGATTATTCAAGAGCTTTTCATTTCTTTGATTGGGAGGCTCCTCTTGGAACAGAAACTCAAAGGACACACCACCTACATATTTTGGAAAATATTGATTAAAAAATCAAATGTAACTCAGTCAACTGAAATGCAGAAAGTTCAGGCTGAGGAAATGGTCCAGTGGCTAAGACAGCACTTGCTGCTATGGCAGGGGACCCAGGCTCAGTTCCCAGCACCCACATAGACTCACAGCCACACACAGCTCCAGTTTCAGAGGCTTCACTGCCCTCTCCTGGCCTCTGCACCATCCACACACAGTGCATACGCATATGTGCAGCCCCCCCCCAACACAACCATAAAAATAAAACAAATTTTAAAAAAATAGAAATCCAGAAACAGTGCTCAAAGATGAAACACCATTTTTACATCCTCAGACGTCCCTGCATCTGAGAGTGGCTGTGAGGTCTCCGAGTACAGCGTGGAGATGACAGAGCCTGAGGATGTCGCTTCCGAAGTGTACCATGGGCCCGAGCTGGAGTGCACAGTCGGCAATCTGCTTCCCGGGACTGTGTATCGCTTCCGAGTGCGGGCTCTGAATGACGGAGGGGTGAGTGTGCGGTTACCCCCATAACTGGAGTACGCGTACCTCTTCAGCCCCCTCAAGTTCCTCAGGAGTGTGTGCCCCCTGCCAACAGCCGCTACACTGTATATAGTAAGATCCTATTTGAGAAGCAATGTATAGTAAGATCCTATTTGAGAAGCAATGACAGCCGCTACACTGTATATAGTAAGATCCTATTTGAGAAGCAATGTATAGTAAGATCCTATTTGAGAAGCAATGACAGCCGCTACACTGTATATAGTTAGATCCTATTTGAGAAGCAATGTATAGTAAGATCCTATTTGAGAAGCAATGACAGCCGCTACACTGTATATAGTTAGATCCTATTTGAGAAGCAATGTATAGTAAGATCCTATTTGAGAAGCAATGACAGCCGCTACACTGTATATAGTTAGATCCTATTTGAGAAGCAATGTATAGTAAGATCCTATTTGAGAAGCAATGACAGCCGCTACACTGTATATAGTAAGATCCTATTTGAGAAGCAATGTTGTCACAACTTCCTACAGGACCGGCACTACAAAGGTTCTGCTTCCCTCAGTGAAAGTTCTCTAGGGGAATTAGGCAAGGTGAGTCAGGAGAGCATTTGCACATGCTGAGTTCAAGCCCAATCCCTCCATTTTAGAAAGCTAGCGTGGGGGAGCATGCTTGTGCTCTCAACACTGAGAAGGTTGAACAGGAGGGTACCTGGGTCTCGCTGCAGCCAGCCTAGCCTACTTAGTGAGGTCCAGTCCTGCCTTAGAAAACAAGGTAGAAGCAGATGTTGCCTCTCATCCTCCACATGTACACACAGGTACTGTACACACATGAATGTATACACACCCCAGGAAGCATTATAAAATATTGTCTGTGCCTTGAGTAGCTTAGTTCTCTAGACAAAGAGGGTGGGGCCTGAGGGGGCAGCTTAATGGTTTTTATTTGATTCCTCTGAAAACACCACAAGTCTCTGCCTCTTCCTCCTGTCTCGTGCGTCTGGTGTTGGAGGTCAGAAGCTGAGAGGATGCGTGTATATACAGATCCACAGAGGGACTGTCCTTTTGTCTCTGTGAAGTGGTAGACTGATGGGCTTGGAAATGAGGAGTAGGTGGCCCACAAAGAGTGTCAGGGATGGGCAGAAATGCGAAGAATGAGCTGATGCCCGTGGCTCCCAAAGCCTCGGTGTTGTGTACCGCTGAGCTCCGTGAGAATTGTCGCATTTCATTAATTGGCAGAATTTATTTAAAAAGAGAAGAAAGGCTAATTGACAATATGTGCTGGTCACTAAAGATAAGTCATGTCACATGAGACCCAGGGGCACTCTGAAAATACGTTACAGCAGTGTTGCTTTTCCAAACAGAGAATACAGGTAACTAGCGGGCATGGTGGGAGTGCCTGTAAATCCCCCCATTCCAGAGGCTGAGGCAGGAGCTTCGTGGGTTCAAGACTAACTGGGGCTACATGGCAAACTCTTGTCTCAAAAGGGAGAGGGGATGCCAGCGGCCAGAACAAATAACATCGGGTGATATTGTTATTGAATTGTACTGTGGATGCTGTTGGCCTTTTCTTCAATTATAAGATTTCCATGCTCACGTGCAGAGACATGTGTTCTTCTCTTTCAGTATGGCCCCTACTCCGACGTGTCAGAGATCACCACCGCCACGGGGCCCCCTGGGCAGTGCAGAGCTCCATGCATCTCCTTCACGCCGGATGGAAGCGTCTTGGTGGGGTGGGAGGTGAGTCACGCACGTGCTGTCCGTCAGTTTCTGTTGTTTCTGCCTTCACCCACACACAAAGTTGTATCCCTTCCAGTTGTGGAAGTAGTCAGAGCTGAGAGGAAGCTGAGTGCCACCCTTCCCTTTGCGTGTGTTGGATGACCCTGGGCATGCTGTCCCGCTTCCTCTCAGTGAGATGACTAACAGACGTGTGCCCTGCAGAGCCCGGAGAGCCCTGGTGCTGACATCTCTGAGTACAGGCTGGAATGGGGTGAAGATGAAGAATCCTTAGAACTCATTTACCATGGTCCAGACACCTGCTTTGAGATCCAGAATCTGTTGCCTGCTGCCCAGTATTGCTGCAGACTACAGGTAGGTGACTATCTGGATACCGCTCCCAAAGGCCGGTGTTCCCTGAAAGGCTGTAGGGGAGGATCACAAAGAGAAAGAATCCTCTGTGGACTGGGAGAGGGCTCCCTTGGAGCAGTGCTTACCACTCAGATATGGAGACATGAGTTCAGATCCCTGCAGCGTATAACACTTAGGTGCTATAATACTTTCTGGAACCCCAGCACTGGGGTGGATAGGCTAGATATGGGTGGGTTTCAGAGAGCTTGTGGTGCAACCAGTAGCCAAACTGGTGAGCTCCACCTTCAGTGAAAAACTTTGTCTCAGGGGAAGGCACCTGATGTTGGCCTGTCCCCTACACACACACACACAAAAACACACACACACACACACCACATAAACATACCACACACCACATACTGCACACACTGACACACACAGAGAGTGGGCACATCTGCACATATACACAGCTTCATAGACACACACACACCAGGTGATTTTATCTTTTCTAGGAGGTTATAACATGTAAAAGCCAAACCAGATTCTTCTCTGCTCTTCTCCCCAGTAGTGGTATCTTCCATACTGTTTTCCAGCGCACCTGACAGGTGACCTAGAGCCAGCAGGAAGCTCTCCCAGTTCTTCGTGAAAGATGTATTTGAATCCCACTTCTGTGGGAAAGCAGCTCAGAACTGACACTCAGACAGGAAATTCATATATACACCAGCTGTTGAACTGAGCTATAAGCACAGAAACAGCTATTTCAGTCATTTGAGCTGGTCTCCTGCCTCAGTTTCTTTCCTGTCGCCGAGGTAAGGGAAGGGTGTGTTCTGGCTTACAGTTTAAAGGTGCAGTGAGCGCAGCGTAGCAAGGAATCGAGGCAGCAGGACCTAGAAGCAGCTGGTCATAATCGTATCCAATAAGAAAGCAGAGAGCGGTGAACAGTTGGTGAGGCTCAGCTTCTTCTGCATGCACATAGTCTAGGCTAGCACCACGCAGGCCTCCCCACCTTGCTGGTCCCCCCAGATATGCCCGAGGCCATTTCCCTCGAGGGGTGGAGTATTTCCCATTGGCCATCATAAGCTTCAGTCTGGGAGCACAGAGTAACACAGGCACCATGGTCCATAGCCTGCCCCTAAGAATGTGACTTGTCATAGGTACCTTTACTTTATTCACTGGGGTTTCCCCTCCACAGACTCTTGGCACCCTAAGACTGTGGGGTCCTTGGTCTCCACTTCTTTCCATATTCAATAGCCCCCTTTTGAGCACTGTTTTCTTTGGGGTGGAAGGATGACCAGGAGAGCTATAGCCCTTGAGGCAGCCTGTCTCTGAGCACATGTAGATTTCATAGATAGAGAAGCAAAGATGGCAAGCTGACGGTCACCCCGTCTGTGTTTGGCCTTGCAGCAAATGGCGTGGCAAACGTGTTTTGTATCTCTAGCCTTGCTATGGAAGATAATCCCTTTGTAAGTTAATTTTCTTGATAACCAGGGCTTTCCTCTTGACTTTGGAAGCCTGCTTCACCTTAAACATTTCTTATTAAACACCTTTGTTGGGCGGTGCCCTTCCTTTCTGTGTGAATGGACCAGCCGTCACGTCATTGGCGCTTTGTCCCTGAATCCACACGTCATCCGGTCTTTGTGCCAGTGAGGCCGAGGCACTGGGAAAGGGGACACTGAGTACCACACTGGGACGGACTGATTCCAACCAGAGCTGTCTGCTATCTCGTTAGCCCTCCCTGCCATGTGCTTCTTTAGCTTAGCTGTCTCACGAATACGTCCCCGCTTTCTCCAGTGGGTACGTATTCCCACTCAGACTGTTTTTACCAGGGAAGAGAATAGAGCAGAGCGATCAGAAAGTGCCTGCATGACAGCCCCGTGTGTCTGCCTTGGCAGCCTGGGTAAAAACAGGCTTTTAAATTTCTGTGCTTGTCATGAAATGAACTAGAACCTTTGACAGGAGAGTCAGCTGAAGAAATCCCCAGGAGCACGTCTCTTCCATCCTTACTGACTTCTTGGTATCTGTGGATTACATAGAAATTACAAATTCCAGGCACTTGACCTTACTGTGTGGTCAAGTCAGCCTTGAATATTTGACATTCTAAAAAAATCCGTTTTTCTCATAACTCTCCTGTTTTCTAAAAAGTGATTTAAGACATTTTTTGTTTTTCTCAGGAATTTTTGTCTTGTTCCTTGGGATATGTTGATTAAGTGTCTTGGTTAGTGGTAAAAGCCCAGCCATCCCCGACCATGCACACACACTAATGAATAACCAGTAAATATCCACAACAGCCATTTGTACAAGAAACCATAGTGTTGCTTGCTCAGTAACAGATGCTTTTAAGTTTCCTTTGAAAAGTTTGAATCAGAAGTGTGTAAATCAAGAAAGAGTTTTCTACACAGCCAACCAGAGGAAAGTGGAGCAGCGGGCAGAACCCCGGGTAGAGAAAGACCACTGCTGGAAAGGTGTGGGATTTGAGTTAGGTCTGTGCAGTTTACAGCACTGTACCAAGGATAGTTTCTGGGATGTTGTTTCTTTTTTTTATTTTTTGGACTTATGTTTATTTTATATGCATGGCTGTTTGCCTGAATGCTTGTGTACCACATGCATGCAGTGCCCATGTAGGCCTGAAGAGGGGCGATAGCTAGAGCTGCCTGTGAACTGTCATTTGGGTCCTGCCGCTTGACAGGGGTCCTCTGGGGGAGTGTAGCAGTGCCTTAGCCTCTTCCAGGCTCCAGCTGCTGGTTTTGATTGTTATCTCTGAGGTGTAACTGTGGGCATTAGGAGAAGCATGGGAAGAGCTGAGCAGAAGCTAGTGTTCCTGCGGCTCTCCGTGAGTGCAGAGCTAGCTCAGAGAGTGTGGGGAAAGTTGGGGAACTGCTCCTCTGTTTGAGGCTTTTCCTAGTGCTTGCCCTTGTGGCTTTACCACCATGTCACCGGTACAGCCCATGTGACCACTGGGGGAACACTCGGGCTTCCCCTCCCTCTGCAGAGAGGATCCCTGCTGTCGTTGTGTCTCAATTCTTCAAGTCCTGTGGTAAGTTTATATCTAAATAAACTCTGTGGCATGCACAGGGCTTCAAGTTCAGTCCTCAGTACTATGAAAGAACAGAAATTAAATCTCAAGATACAGATTCTTGAAATAATTTGTTCTCGGGAAAAGGGGCCAAGGGGTCGGGATGAAGCCATACTGTCTTAAATTTCCCATGCAGCTTCTGTGGGAGTTCAGGAAAGCAAATGTCCTTAACCTGTCTTTTCTTTGGGGAATTCTGTTGCTTAATTAACAAGGAAAGAACTGTATGCTTTGTTTTAGGCCTTGGAAATTCAAATTTGCCTCTCTAGTTTCGTTGCTTGTGCTGACATACTCTCACGCGTAATCAAGAACTGGCTTTTATCACTTCCTTTTCTTTTGAAAAAAGTATCTTATTGTTTTATATGTATGTTGTTCCTCTGTGTGTATGACACTGTGTGGCGAATGTGCAGCACCCAGTGGAAGGTGTCAGATCTCCCGAAACTGGAGGACCACGTGTGTGCAGGGCCAGTGGAAGGTGTCAGATTTCCCGAAACTGGATTACAGGCAGATGTGGTTGCTAGGAATTAAACCTTGATCCTCCGGAAAAGCAACCAGTACTTGTAACCAGAGACCATCTCTCCAGTCCTGAGATTCTTATTGCTATAAAAAAGTTGCCAAATATTTTATTCTTTGAAAGAGAATAATACTTTTATAAACACTTATGTAGTGCTTTATAACACGTATGGAACATGTCTTCCATATCAGCTTCTGGTCGAGTTGTCAGAGGAGTTCCAGGCCCACAGATAACACGCTCTGTCTATGCTAGTGATGAGGGCCATGCTGAAATAGGATGCTAGCAATGGCTTGCAGAGAAGTCTGGGAGGAAAGCCTCTGGACATAAGAAACCACAAGAGCACCAGTCCTGAGGTAGATGTCCATGAGGACTGGCAAGGAAGTCGGCAGAGCCAGTGAAATTAAGAACAGTGAGCGATGAAAGCCAAGTGCTAATGGCGCTTTTGACGTGAGGTCACAAGCCTCAGATAGGGTCTCTGTGTGCTTCTGTAGTAAAGGGCTTCCGTCTCTGTTCTGGTAAGATGGATGCCATCAAAGAGTCAAACTGAAAGTCCTGGAGGAGGCATAATGGTTAAAAGCCCGTTGTTCCAGAGAACCCAAGTTCGATTCCCAGCACCCATGTCAGGTTGCTCACAGCCACCTGTAGCTCCAGCTCCAGGATGTCCACCTCCCTTCTCTAGCCACGTGGGTCACCTGTACATGCGCCATGTACTCCTCCACATATAGAAAAGCGTAAAACCGAAGGAAGTCCTGACTTTTGTATTAGCATGTCCTTCTAATCACTGCAGGTCCAGACTCTAGGGATGGGCCAGTGCCGAGACCAGGGAGGGTGTCACATTGGCTAAAGAGGACGTGGTTGCCCTAGGGTGACTTCAGGTGGTCTGATGGGCAGGACGTGGGTGACTGGGACATAGGTGCTCCTGAGAACTTTAGATACAACCTGAGCAGCTTGGAGGATAGGGAAGACGGCAGCTGAGGAACCTTCTGGGTGTTCGCAGGCAGTAGGGTACACATGCCACCCTAGACATCGGGGCAGAGGTGGAGAGCAGTTAAGAATGACCCCTGACCTCCACATGCAAATGCATGTACACACACATGTACATACACACCAAAAAATTTAACACTGGCATGTGCTCATGCTGTGATGTGGTTAACATTGGCTAATGTGGAGGTACTGGCATGTGCTCATGCCATGATGTGACCTGGTGACACCCTTCTGTTTTCCAGGCCTTCAATCCAGCAGGTGCAGGGCCGTATAGCGAGCTTGTCCACTGCCAGACACCTGCCTCTGCCCCCGACCCTGTCTCCACGCTGTGTGTCCTGGAGGAGGAGCCCCTCGATGCCCACCCGGACTCGCCCTCTGTGTGCCTTGTACTGAACTGGGAAGAGCCGTGCAATAATGGATCTGAAATCGTTGCTTACAATGTTGATCTCGGAGACACTAGCATTACTGTGGGCAACACTACCACACACGTGATAAAGAACCTCCTTCCAGAGACTACGTACCGGTGAGTACAGAACGCTGTGAGAAATCTGTCCCACGGTGTCAGTTCCAGGGCTGAGCATCTGTCCTAAGTTACTGTGTTCCAGATATTCCTCTTTAACATCTTTAAAGGTACTAGATGAAATATAGTTTAAAGGCTTGTACTGCTTTCTACCTACAGTAGTGATACATTCCCACAATTCCTAGCTTCTGAGGGAGAATTTTGTTTCAGACTTGAAATCCCTTTCCCCTCCTGTACCTTTGGTTTCCCCTTTCTTCATATATTTTTCTCTGTGAGTCATGTGACTGCATACTCCATCCCAGGCCACCTTCCTGACAACCTTCAGACCGGACACCCTCATTCTGCTCACTCCCTCAGAGCAGACACGGGTTCATTCAGGATTTCACACTGGACAGAACAGAGTTCCTCACGTGGGGGTGATCCCACTTGCCCGCTGTTTCTCCTAGCTGGCCTTTCACACTTTCAAAACACTTAGCTCTCGCTCAGAGCAGCCTTGACTCAGGCAAAGCCCAGAGCTTGCAGCCAGCAGGCCATCTCACTGGGGGAGATCCAGAAAGCCTGTCTTGATAATCAAGTGTGGCCCAGCAGGAGCTCCTGCTTTGGGGCTCTGGGTTATCAGGTTGGGGGAGGGTCAGCTCCGGCTCGGGACCTGGTTGTCTTCAGGCCAGGTATCCCCAGTCCCAACCTCTGTTAGGAGGAAAACAAGCCGATTCCCAGGAGGGCATCAAGTAAGGAGGAAATGTGTGGGTATCAAGGTATCAGATGCTGACAACTGAGCCAGTAGCAGCACAGCAGTCAGCACAGCAGTTAGCCAGCAGTCCTCCCACAAAAGTCCAGCTTCCTGGGGGCGGGGATGATAGCAAGCTCCTCCCACAGAACTCCTGCTTCCTGGGGGGCCAGGGATGATAGCAGGCTGCTGCTTCAGAAGAAAATCTTCTATTTCCTGTGTTTTCTGCAGTGCTTTCTCATTCTCTAGTCTTTTTTTTATTTATTAAAGATTTCTGCCTCCTCCCCGCCACCGCCTCCCATTTCCCTCCCCCGATCAAGTCCCCCTCCCTTGTCAGCCCAAAGAGCAATCAGGGTTCCCTGCCTTGTGGGAAGTCCAAGGACCACCCACCTCCATCCAGGTCTAGTAAGGTGAGCATCCAAACTGCCTAGGCTCCCACAAAGCCAGTACGTGCAGTAGGATCAAAAACCCATTGCCATTGTTCTTGAGTTCTCAGTAGTCCTCATTGTCCGCTATGTTCGGTTTTATCTCAGGCTTTTTCAGACCCGGGCCAGCTGTCATTCTCTAGTCTTGAGTGCGTGTGTGTGCGCGCACATGTGGGTACATGTGTGTGTTCATGTGTGTACGTTATGTGTGTGCATGTGTGTTCTTGCTTCTAGAAACCAGAGGGATCTAGCTGGGAGGTAGAAGCAGGTGGATCTCTGTGAGTTCGAGGCCAACCTGGTCTACCAGAGCTAGTTCCAGGACAGGCTCCAAAGCTACAGAGAAACCCTGTCTCGAAAAACCAAAACCAAAACAAAACAAAGCAAACAAACAAAAAACCAGAGGGATCTTTGATGCTGTTTTTCCTCAGGTGGTCCCACCTTGGTTGGTTTGGGATGGTTTGGTTTTTGTTTATCGTTTTGGTTTTAATTTGATTTTGTTTGGTTTGAGACTATTAGTCCTGACTGGCCTGGAACTCATGCAGACCTGCTGGCCTTGAATTCAGCGATCTGTTCTGCCTCTGCCTCCTAAGTGCTGGCATTAAAGCCCCCCAGTGCTGGCTTCTTAGTCTCAGGTGGCTGGCCAGCAAGCCCTCATCCACACCTCTCTACCTTCCCTTTGCTGGGATTACAAGACCTTGCCATACACTTGGCTTTTTTTACATAAATTCTGACACTGGAACTCAGTTCCTGATGCTTGCAGGGCAAGCAGTTTGCTGAGGAAGCTGTTGCCAGCCCTAGGCTCTCCTTGTTGCCAGAAGCTAAAGAAGGAGGCAACTCAGCAGCTGTGAGGTCCAGATGTTCCATCCTGGCATTTCTTATCTCCCAGCTCTCTTTCCAAATACCTCTTTTCTGAGTAATTCATAAACCAGTTTTGCTTTTCAGAGTGCTGGCAGACTCTTCCTCGTTTGTTTTCACCACGCTCATCGTGTTGAGGACCCTCTTGCCCACAGCATGCCTGGCAGACTTAGAGCGCACGTGAAGATCTCAAGGCCACTTAAGCCACAGTTTTAGAGAATGGGTGACCATCAGTGCAAGGAGCAAGTCCCTTGGTTCACTGTAGTCACGCTAAATGACATAGGAGGCACTAGCGATGTCTCGGGCTGGGGCTCGACATGGAGTCCTTGCTTAGAATATGTGCAGCCACGAGTCCCATGCTTAATCCTTAGACACACACAAAAGTGGGACCTCAGGTCAGAACTGAATAAAGGGGAACATGGCTGGTGAGATGCTTGCTCAGCTGGTGAAGCTGTTTGCCTCTGGAGTACATTTGGATGCTGTGCATGGAAGTCTAGTCAACACAGAACTGTGTGCTGCTGTCTCAGAGACAGTCAGAGCAATTATAATGAGTCTTGCCACTGTTTGCAAACAAACCTAAGGGCTTCATTTTGGTCTGGTCAACTTTCCCTGACCTTTTTCTGTCCCATAAATTGGTTAAAATACAGCTAAGATGATCACCATGTGTGAAGTTTAGATTAAGGCTTGTGTCTTTATTTTTTACTTTTATTTTTATTTTTAGTATTTTTACATGTCTTGCCTGCATGTATGTCTGCACAGTGTGCATGCAGTGCCCATGAATCTGCTGGAGTTTTAGATAGTTGTGACCTTCCATGTAGGTACTGAAAATAGAACCTAGGTCCTCTGAAAGAGCAGCCAATGCTCTTAACCACTGAGCCGTCACTCCAGCCCCTTTTGTTTGTTTGTGAGTATAGGAGTTGCATGTTGTCCTCTCTAGACTGCATCTGTAATGACCCTTGGGACAGAAATCAGCGTTCCAACAGACCCCTCTGCCCGCTGCTGTCAGAACTGCCTGGTAAGGGTTTGCTGGCACAGTCTATATTTGAAATTTGGCTGGAATTTAAAAAAAAAAAAAAACAATTATTAAAAGTATTACATTTAAGTTTAGAACTGTATCTGAAATTGAATTTTGCTTTGGATTGCAGAGAAAATGGAAAACAGGTTTCCTTTGTACATGCCCTGCCAAGTAGAGTCACAGACCATAAGCAGAGAGACTTGGGGGTCACCTGGTGACACCTGTCCTGTCCTGGGCGCGAGCAGCTCCCTGACCTACCTGGGTAGTGGTCCAGCTTTGGCTTGCCGGGCAGTCCAGCTCATCCCTTGAGCTTATCAAAGCCTCTTTGTATCCAAAGCCGCTCTTCCAGCAGTGGTTCTCAGAGCTAGCAGCAATAGTGGATCCCGAAGACCCATGAGAAGGAGCAAAGGATCAGGCTTAAGCCCAGGCCTGGGAAATAGTGAGGTAACCATGGCTCAAAAAGTAAATCCAGGAGGCGCTCTCTCTCTCTCTCTCTCTCTCTCTCTCTCTCTCTCTCTCTCTCTCTCACACACACACACACACACACACACAATAAATAAAGGTAAAAGGTGATTTTGTGAGAGATTGTAAGGACGAGAGGATATGCGTCTTGGTCACGGAGCTTGGCCCTGAGATGGCGCACTGTCGTTTGCAGTCTGGAGGACAGGTGACATTGTTGTCATTTAGGAAGTACACCCAGGCACACAGATCCCGGGCAGATTTGGAACTGGAATCCAAACTTCTTTCTTCCACGTACAGAAACTTTCTTGTTCCCAGCTCTTTATGTCAAACTACAACTTCAGGACCCGAGGCTGGTTGTCTGTGGGTCGTGGGTAAAACTTGGTGGCAGTCATTAATGAGAGCAGTGTCCTATAAAATAATAAGTCTGGGGTGGGATCTGAGTGCCAGTTTAACTAGCCCTCCATGAGAAGCGTGTGTAAGTGTGGAAACCTCTGCCCTGGAATGTACACGCATGTGCAGGTTGAGAGGGGAGGTGCCTGAGCCCCACTCCTGTAAACTGAGCCTCAGTGGGCCTCATAATGGCCGACACCTGGTGTCTCGCCCCTCATCAGCCCTCTTTTGCCTAGCATGGCTTCCGTGGCCTCCTTCATTATCCGCTCTGACAGCGTGTCTCCTGGTGGCCTCCCTGTGCAGCAGTGATCTGTGTGGCTTGGGGGGGAAGGGGGAGGGCTGCAAATGCCTCTTTCCATCCTGAACTGGTTGTGAGGTCACCTGAGATCACAACCTCATTATATGTCTGACTCACACTGAGCTGCAGAACAAGGAAAAATTAAAATAGGTTTGTTTGTTAGGCTCACTTATGCCCATTTTTCCTAAGTCAAAGGGGTGAAAATAGCGTTTATTGAGTTCTTACTATGTCGTAAGCACAGTGTTCAACTGCAGAAAGTGAGTCATAAACCCCTTGACCATAATGAGATGAGGCAGGGTTTGGGGGAGCTGAGTTCTGACTCCTTAGCCGTGGGTTCGGCCCCCCGCTCGTGTCTTGCAGCCCGTGGAAGTAACTGAAACTCTTCATGCCTGTTGCCTCATCTGTGCAGTCGCCTGGCAGTGCCGCCTGTGTCTGCAGAGGCTTCAGCTACCTTCTTGGGTTAGACATAAGCACGCAGTAGACTCCTGGCTGTTCATGGTTTGATCAGAAAGAAATGAGTCAGGACTCAGGCAGTTGCCACCTTATAGGTTGGCTTGTGGGCTTGTGTGGAGTGGGCTGGTGGTGCTGCTGTCACCAGGGCCAAGAGAGACCTCTCCGGAGAGCTTTTCTCTGAGTCCACTTTTCCTCACAAAAACAACATTCTGTGTTTCCTCCGTTGTCTTTCCAGAAGGTTCTCCCTCACCATAGTCATCTTCTCTAGAGGAGGGTGGTAGGGCATGCCGAGCGTCTTGTGAGAAGCCTCTCCTGCTCCCGGGGCCTGCGCCACACCAGGCTTCCAGGGCCTTGACCTCAGTCACCCCATCCCACACT